TGCGCTTCATATATATATATATATATATATATATATATATATATATATATATATATATATATATATATATATATATATATATATATATATATATATATATATATATATATATATATATATATATATATATATATATAAATATATATATATATATATATATATATATATATATATATATATATATATATATATATATATATATATCAGCTTTTAGAAGGCTACATTTTTGATGCAGGTGAAAGTGCTGTCAGCCCATGTGCTCAGAAGAAAACCCAAGTGGTCGAAATTTCTGGAGCCGTCCACTACGGTGTCTTTCATAATCATATGTTATTTTTGGGACGCTAATCCCGGCATATGAATCAATCAACTCACGGCCATTCAGTCAGCATGCGCGTGCACTAACCACTACACCACATCACGCTACAGAACCGTCTGAAATGAAACAAGCTCGTGCGCACCGATGAGTCGCTTGCACACGGCGCGAACATTACGGCTGTTACCGCAAAGAACGGGTGCTTTACTCCACAAAGAGGAAAGTGCCCCTTCTTGTGGTTCCGTGTGCAATATTTTTTGCACATTTGGTCTTTTGAAGGAAAAAAAAAAGCCCTTTTTGTGGTAGCTGCGCAGTTACTCTGGAAAACGTTTTAGAGTGTATGTGCGCGTGTACATACATCTCTGTACATCCTTGCTAAGAAAGAGAGAACAAAGCATCGCTTCACGTGGGTGCTTCTTACCTTCAAAGTTGTATTTTAAGCTGTAAAAGACAACTCAAGTTGAATGAAAACTAATTAGCCCGGCTCCTAATTAGGCCTGCATCGTGCAAAAACCACGGTCTTTCACCTTTTCCATGGTCCAGTGAGTAAAGCTGTGGGGTGAACTTAGAAGCTGAACTTGAATCTACTACTTTATTCTTCCCCACTTTGCCAACTGCTGCCATCGCTCCTAGTTACTGCAAGCAAGTCTGATCAGGTTTATCAGCGACCAAAGCGCAAACCTTTTTGTGGCGTTTCTAGTACGGCAGAACTAGAGCATTTCAAAAGATTCGTCACACTCATCGGCTCTCAGCAGCTTCGATAAAGCAGCGATGATGCTATTCATTTTTGATGAAAGAAAACAATTTTCCTGAAGGAGGAAATGCTCTGACTGCTCCATAAAACGATTGCATGTTCCCATCGATACGAAGCAAGTACAAAAAGTTTTCGCACCTTCTACTGCAGCCCACTTTGCAATGCTACTGCATACAAGGCGCGAAAGAGTCGCTTAGACTGCTCCCACCGCAAGGAATCCTGAAGGACAATCGTAACAGCACAAATTTAGCAAAAAGTTTACTTAATAAAACATTTTCTGGTAACATCTTCATTTCCTCGTAACAATATAATATATTGATTACTCTTGTGAAGGAAAATTACGCCATAATTGTTGGTTTCAGCCCCCCCCCCCCCAAAACTTTTCTCAGTGGGGGGCTCGCGCGCCCCTTGCTGCCCCGGCTGATACGCCTGTGGTGCTCGCGAGTATGGTAGTCCTCGGCACTGTAAAATAATTCTGCTTCAGTGGATGACGCTTTGCTACAATGGGCATTTACCCGACGTGATGGCTCTATCATAGGAGTACAAATGTAAGTTTTATAAATTTGTATAGCCAGCAATGCAACCACAATTCACCTTTCATGATCATTCGTGTCTATTTCAAGAGTAGTTTCGAGACTTGGCGTGACTCTGTGGTAAAATGCTTGATTGCCACGCAGAATGCTTCGGTTCGATTTCTGCTTGCACCCTGACAACCATTCTTTGCACTCATCTGGTAAACGCTGCCGATGTCAGCTTTCTAAACGCTCAATCGTTAAAATTACCCATATCTGTTCTCGCTGTTCTTGGGTAGATATCAACTGTCAAACATCAGCGACACTTACACTCATACCTGTAGAACATACCCGCTTGCGGGTATGTGCCAAACGTTTGACGAAAAGGTTTTGACAACGTACGTGACGGGATTCTGACATTATTCATGTCATGACCAAGGAGTAAAATTTGTCAAGCCATCTTACCCTTCCTAACTAATTTTGGTTTACCCTAAGTTAAGTGGATGATCACGAAAGCACCGTGGCATAGATAGATAGATAGATAGATAGATAGATAGATAGATAGATAGATAGATAGATAGATAGATAGATAGATAGATAGATAGATAGATAGATAGATAGATAGATAGATAGATAGATAGATAGATAGATAGATAGATAGATAGATAGATAGATAGATAGATAGATAGATAGATGTTCAAAGTGCCTGCAGTGCGCATGCAAATGCTTTAAATTTAAAAAGCGCACTGTTTTGTATCATATATAACTACTCAATATGGTCTTGAAAAACTAAGCAAACTAACTTTTAATATATAAGGACATCCGTTAGGGTTAAGTCGAATAGAATAACTGATGTCTTTAACGCGAACGGTGGTCTGGTAGCTAAGGTACTCGGCTGCTGACCCGCAGGTCGTGAGCACAAATCCCGGCTGCGGCGGCTGCATTTTCAATTGAGGCGAAAATGCTGTAGGCCCGTGTACTCAGAGTTGGGTGCCCGTTAAGTACCCCAGGTGGTCAAAATTTCCTGAGCCCTCTTGTACGACATCTCTCATAATCATATGGTGCTTTTGAAACGTTCAACCCCACATATCAATCAATCAATCTTTCCCTTTAGGAGGCCAACATCGGTTGAAATGTTTTGTAGCAATACTGCTTCAAAGGAAACATTAATATGGGAGCTTCTATAAAAACAAGGCAAATATTTTGGTTGAATTTGTTTCACAATAGAAACCATGGCCACATTGGAATAGACCGTAATCAATACATTCTACAGCATCACTATATATCAAGACGAACAGATCATGAGCAGGTGGTTACAGAATATAGAGGCAGAACTAATGTTTTGAAACACACTTTTTCGTGCAAAACAGTTTTTGAATGGAATCGTCAGCTTGCTGACACACTCAGCGTACTAGACAACGAAGCTTTAGCGGTCACTCTTTGACATCTCAACCTGTCTTCTCCTGCAGCGAAATTTTATGAAATGTTTTGTTCTTATCACATAGTTCTTGTATTTTTTTATGTTTGTACAGTATAGTTTTATTTTTGTTTTCATCTCTTCGTCTTGGTTAAATGACCTTCATGTGACTTATGGGCATTGGGAACAGTGTATGCCACTATTTCTTCATAGTAATCATTGTTTTAAATCTGTGTTCTTTCTCTAAAAATGTTCTTAAAATGTATCATGTATACATTTTGTGCATACCCCCTCCCCCTTCACTGTAATGCCCAAATGATTCTGTGGTATAAGTGTAAATGAAAAAATAAAATTTCAAAAAGTGGCTTCTAGTATTTTCTACGGAGTAGTGAAATCGGCGAAACGGAAACTAAAGCTCAGATGAATGAAACTAGCATACATGCCACATTGGCCACCCCAATAAAGAGAACCACCACAGAAATGTGAATTCTTCTACTTTAGTTAAAGTAAGTGTGCCATGCACGCTGCGTGGGGATTGACAGCCCGCAAACCCACAAAGCGAACTAAATTGGTTGTTAATCGAACGACTTTCACAGTAGTAATATTGGAGAGAAGGACTACAAGTGCCCCGTTCGACGGAACCACTTCGCTCCTCTAATTAGCTCGTTGTTCACCTTCTTTAATAGCAACGGTATCAGTTTGCCTAGTGATCTGAAAACGTCTTCCGCCACAGAAAAAGTGGTTGTGAATACATCGAGCAAAAAACGCATCATGTTTTTTTTTATATTTGACGTTATTCGGACACAGTTATAGAAAAAACCTGATTACATTGGCCAAATATGTCATTTGTTTAGCATAACGACTAGTATTTTAGTTTCATCTTGTCCTCATTTCGTTCGCTAAGGGTATCCTCTTTATGTCATCCTACGAATTTGGAATAAGGAAGCAATGTACATAAAGGCAAAACTAACCGCATAGCTCGGCATGTTGAATTTCAAAGTACGTGGCTTGAGAAGTATGGCGCACCTCGATCTTCAATTTTCAGTCTCTGATAGTTGTTTTTATGTGAATAATCTCACTCAACCACAGCAAAAGGACATTCGTCAAATTTTTTGTGAAGGCGGCATCATTATAAGTCTTTTTTAGCTTTCTTACCGATCTAAATGAGCACAAAATTTTGAAAATGCCAATGTAAGTATCTGCACAAAGCTCCTAATCATGAAATAAAGTTCTCGTGTATAGGCATCATGCCAATATTAGCAATCAAAAAGAAAAGTGTAGACATTTTTGGTTGAAATTTGCTCTCAGATATTAGCCTTTGAAAATTAAGGGAGTTAGCGTAAGCGTCAGCGAGTAGTACACATGCCAAAACGCTTGAATACTAATGGCGCATAGTGACGATGTATTTTTTACCTCACCATGAAGTTCCAAGTGACTCGGTACATGTAGGGCAAATAAATGAATGGAGTTAAATCTTCTTTTCCAAGTGTTATGAGAGCCAGCACCGTTACTCTTACGGGGTAGCACTGCTTGAGTCATATGAATATTGCACGTTTAGATCTTCCTATTTATAAACAAGCAACGAAGCAAACCTTAGGCGTTAGAGCACATGACCATGAGAAGAACATCTCCAGGTGTAAGAAGTGTAGGCATCAGCTGAAATTTAGGCCCGTTCTTTTTTGTTCGGAAATCACTCGTGATGGTTTTAATTATTGTCAACAAAAAATTGAACAATTAAAAGTTGAATGTAGCTGGTTGAATCTATGCTTTAGTGGATGCATCTACGGCGCAGAGTTAATATTAGGACAACAGGAAACGTAAAACAGACGCACATGCCCACACATGTGTGTGTGTTTTATGCGTACTCTGTATTGGTGAAAGTTTTTATTTGAAAATATTCTAAAATTTTGTCGAAACCCTTCAGCTTGCACGTATGCTGGAAACACATGCTCAACACTACAAGCTTACCAGGAAATATAGAGATCAGATAGTGTGTAGACTTACCATTGCTTTCAGGGCCTTGGCCAACACGTGTGCGGCGCACTGCTTTCTCCAGCCTCAGCGCCTGCGTCCATGCAACTGAGGAGCTGTGGCCCAACAAGCCAGAATGTCCCTATTCTCCACCGTGGACGCCGCTCCAGCCAACTCGTCCGCAAGTTCGCGAGGCCGTCGGCACGGCACGAACACACGTACAGGTGTCAAGGCGACGACGCCACTCTGGTCACACCTGGCAACGTCTGCTCTAATCGAACAATTGTCGCTCAACCGTAGCATGTCTTTTGTAGCCTGTACGCGGACCTAAATGTTCACGCAACCGTGACAAAAGCAGCGGGACGAGAGATGCGACGCGCTCGTAACAATGGTGGCTCCGCGTAAAAGTGAGTCCCACGCCAGGCGAGAGCCAACACGAGCAATGCGAAGCTTCGCCGCTTCCAGCCCAAACCACCACGCCTAACTACAGGCTTTCAAACGAGAACCTCGCGGCTTTCTTTCTTCTTTTTTTCAGAGCAGCCTCTACCTGCCCATCTGAAAGTCGGTCCTGACGCGCTTTCTTCTCGGCACCTCAATTTCGTTTGTACGTCTCTCACTGTGCTAGCGCCAGTGAAGATTTGCTTGGCGCCCTCGCCAACCCATTGCTTCTCAGTGGTTTTTTTTTTTTCATCATAGAATGGTTGCTTCAGGGGCTAATATGTCGGTTTCTATAACGAATCAGCCATGCACACACACAAAAAAGGCAATCTGCATGTACGTTTCATTTTCATGCCTGGCTTACAAGCTCCACAAAAAAGAACGGTTTGAGTTATTTAAAAAAAAATACAAAATTCTGAATCAAAAGTAGGACTCTGACCAGTCAAGGTGGTTTTGCTATAGACTGGTTGGTGTTATTCTTGTTTAATTTTAACTCGGGAAAACCGAAAATAAAACCTGCCTTTTACACAGTTTTTCTAGTTCATTTTGGGGAAAGTTTTCCTATTGAATTTATAACCAGGAGACCACAGCACACGTCAAAAATAATTTTATATCTGGCAGTCCTCATTGTTTCTTGGTGCCATAGTTCTTTAAAACACTCGCGCTCTTCAGAGGAAAGTTCTGAGTGCTAGCAGATATTGCAGAATCGAAGAATGCAGCCCACAGCGTGTCTTCGTCAAGTATTTTACAAACCGCCCACTCGAGAAAAGTTTTATATGACTTGAAACATGTCCATGAAGAATTGAAATTCACTGTGATATACCAATGAAATAAAAAAGTACTATAAAAGATTCAGACACTCACTTTCATTTGAAAAAAGCAATTTGTTCTTGTGCGCTCAGATATTGCCTTCGTAAAAAGACGTCATTTTGAGGTATTTTCGTCTTTTAAGCATGACAATATTTGAAATGTGTAGTTGTGCGCTCTTCAACGGCAATACAGCTTCAGAGCTTGGTTTCATTTTCAAAAAGTGAATAAAATAAACCATACCATAGACTGAAGAATGCCGATGATCAACTGGAGGAAAAAAACTATAAAGCGTGCTTCAGAACATATGATGAGCAAAAGTCTTTGCAGCGAAAAAGACGAATCTTTCATCTCTTTTATGAGAGAAAGGGCTAGGCGTGCCCGTAGCTCAAGCTAGCCAAAGCGCCTGCGTGGATTCCCGCATGCAACAATGTACATGCGTGAAAGGTAAAAAGAGTTCTCTACATAGAGTTAGGCCCCCTTTTATAAAATCAGGTGGTCGAATTCAATCCACAGTACCCCAATTTACAGCGTGATTCATATCACAATCCGGTTTTTTATCGGACGAAGACCTTTGTATTCTAATAAGCGGTTCGGCATAGCCTGTTTCCAAATTGAGAGATCGAATTCGTCCATGTAAGCAATTCCCGCGTTGTATTGTACACTAAGGCACCAATACTTGAATATAGTAGTGAAGCATCACAAACAGTGAGTAACATTTACTTAGAATGGCATTGTGAATGCGCATAGACGCCCAATTTTATTGAAATAACTATCATTGAACGATCAGCTGTAGTAGATCTAAAGCGTCATATCAGTGACGTATAATGTACCAGGAGGTCACCAGCCGTCAATTTACACAGGAAGTACTGATCGTTAGGGATATCACTGTAGACGGCACGGAATGTCAATTCAAAATTGGGTTAGCTGCTCTTTGGGGAAGCCTTGGCGAATGTTTTAAATTCACTTGATAGGCTTCACGTTTTGCTAATATACATTATTTACACTGTATTGCAAAAAGATTGTCAGGTGGCGCTTCTAGGTGAATAATGTCAGAGGCATACACTCTCAGGGAGAGTTTGGCAATTCTTTCATCTCACCGTTTTCCGCGCCCCAGCCCCACCCACTTTCGTGACGTACAACCATTCTTCTTACCAGCAGCCACCATCACCTCGAAGAGTGCGAGAATTTTTATATTCTTCCTGGTATTCACTAGTCAACTGGTTTCGTGAATTGGTTGTTACTGCTTTCTAGATTGCTGAAAGCATGACTCCGAAAGATTCCACTTATTTAAGGGTCCAAAAAAAAGAAGGAAGAGTGGAGGCATATCGTGTTCTAAATAATACTGTGTGTGCGTGTGTGCGCATGCGTGTGGGTGGACTGGCACACGCTTATCCGACAGTCCTAATAAACAAGGTTGGCATATACACAAACTAGATACTAACCGTTCACTTGTTTCGAAAAGCTCTGCCACCTTTCTAAATTAACGTAGTAAAATGCAGGTTAGCAAAAGTTGCTACCTGGTTAGTTATTGAATAGTGGGGACTCTAATGGTGAGTTTTTTACTGCGTCCTTCCGCGCCAACTGTCCTAACCACGGCGCTGCCAAAAATCAGTTTCTGTGATTTTTTTCAGAAAATACACAAATACATACGTTAATTTTAAATATTTTCATAATATAATTTGAGCGACAAAATAGTTGACCCTGTATCTGTATGTTAATCTGCAAATGTCATCGAAAGATGATAGTCTTGTGTGTGGAGAGAGTGAACAAAACTTTTATTTGATGTTTTGCGCAAGAAAATCGTTGAAGGTATTCTGGAGGCGCTCTGTTAGAGTGCTTCGAGCGTGCACCATAGACGAACGAGTGCATCAAGTCACGCCACACGTGAGACATGAGCGCTATCTGGCAGCCTTCTTGGAAAACGAAACGCGCGGCTCTGAGGGGTGATAAGATGTAGAACGCACGGCGACAGGTAGGTGCCACCACCGTGCCGTTTTAGCAAAGCGTTCGAAACACTCGCCTTCTCGTGCGAGCATTGCATGGTCAGCGCAGCGTGATAAACGCTACGGTCCTTAGAATTACTTATGTACGCCTTTTCTAGTAACATACACATATACAAAACATATGCATGTTGTTAAGGTGTCTAAGATATGTGTAACGATTTCTTTTTGAGTGACAATTGCACAAGTATGAATGCTGAACCTTGAGCGACATTGGTGGGCGCCTCGGATGGGGTCGGCCGTTTGGCGTGTCGGCTGGTGCCGTTCAGAGTACTCGGTACTATTACAGGTGGAGACACAGACAACTGTACAGACAGACAGACAGCCCAAAATGTTTGCGTCGAAAGTCACCAAGAAAGACTGTCGTCTTTAAAACTTTTATCACCCGTGCACCGCTTAAAATTCACAAAGTGGTGGAAAGCCAGGTACGAGAATAAAATCTCTACAAATTGATCGTTGCGCGCATTATTTCAGTATTTGTTGTTTTGCGTTTTTAAAGCAACTTGCACGAATTATAAAACAGCTCTTCATCATAGCTTCAAAATTTTCACTTTAGAGAGCGTACATAAAACTGAGCAAATTGTTGGTCTTTCGAGAATTGCTCTACACAAAGCACGAGCAAGAATAAATTGTATAAATTACGTTTATCAAACTCCAATGAATTTACTACTAACAAATATTTTTATTTTGACGATGTGCCATGCATAGGCCCTAAACTAAAATCCTGAACTCTGCAAAAACGTCAATTTGGTCTAAGTTAAGGCGTCTGTAGCAGCACCCTAAGGTAGTTCAAGAAAAAGAACAGCTCAATGGCGGATACAATTGAGAATCGTAGCAACTTTGTTCGCAGTTTATTCGAAGTCATTTTTGTTTTAGTGGAGAAAAAGATTGTTGAAGTTGAGTCGCACCATGGCGATGATTGGATATGCCGCAATACCAGCCAACTGAATTCACTGCATAAAAAGAGCGGTAGTGCCCTTACAACACAAGGTTAAAAGTTCTCCTTCAGTTCCCATTTTTTTATACAGCATATATCGAGATGATTATAAAAAAAGATAAAGTTCTAACAATGCGAACAAATTGTACGTCACTATGCTCCCAATAGACACTAGGCTCCCAAAAGGGTGCGCCTAGTGCCGCGGACGCGAACTGCAGTCTGCCGCCATCGTGAGGGCACCGCAGCAGACGACGCAGGCTGTGTGTCCCAGCGACGCTGATGCGCGTTTCTTGCAGCGCACACAGACACCTCTTGCGTTCCTGCAGGACGTAGACCGCGTCGGGAGGGCGTGCCGATGAGAGTCTCTTCTAGGTCGAATCCATGCATTGCCAGTCATAACAAGCCAAACTGCTCGTTCTACCCTTTGAAAGGTACAAAATATTGCACATTGTGCAGCGGAAGCAGCTTAGAAAGCTTATCGGAGTTTACTAGGCACTCGTTCAAGCTAGAAAGCGGTGTGCTTACAGCGGATGATACAGAGAACTATCCGCCAACACAAACATCACAGCACTCATGCATTTGACGGCTCGCTTTTCATGCCCTCATGATAGTGCTGGCTATCCTGCGCTCTTTGCGAACGAAGCTGAAGAAAAGCTCACCATTAGGTGGCATATTTATGAAAAGGGTCTATAATAAATTGCGTTAATAAATCTGCATGGCTATGCGAATACATGTCACATAGCCATAAAACATCTCGCAACGTCCATTAAGGTCGTGCGACGGGGGCGGGAGCACGATCTTTCGTAGCTCATCAAAAAAATATTATACATACTTTCCATGTCATCATTATAATGGTTGGGCCTGGTCTTTGTGTTCGTTGTCTACTCACGTCACGTAACACCTAATTTGGTATATGCGAAA